CGGGCGTGCGGGCGGGCGGGCGGGCGGGCGGGTGTGCGTGCGTGTGTGCATGAGTGCGTGTGTGTGTGTGTGTCTCTGCGTGTCTGTCTGTGCTGCGTGCGTGTGTGTGTGTGTGTGGCTGTGTGTCTGTGCCTGTGCGTCTGTGTGCTTCTCTGTGCGTGCGTGCGCGTGCGTGCCATGTGTGTCTGACTCTGTTTGTGTTTCTGTGCGCTGCGTGCTTGCGTGTGTGCGTGCGAGCGGGCGGGCGTGCGTGTGTGCGTGCGTGGCTGGATGGGTCGGGTGTCTCTGTGTGTGTGTGTGTGCGTGTGTGTCGGCGTCCGTGTCTGTGTCTGTGTGTGTCTGTGTGTGTCTGTGTGTGTCTGTGTGTGTCTGTGTGTGTCTGTGTGGGTCTGTGTGTGGGCGTGTGTCGGCGTGTGTGTTTGCGTGTCTGTGTGTGTGTGTGTGTGTCTGTGTGTTTGTGTGTTTTGTGTGCGCTTGTGCGTCTGCGTGCCGTGTGTGTGTGTGCGTGTGTCTGTGTGTGAGTGTGTTTGTGCGTGACTGCGTGTCTGTGTCTGTGTCCGTGTCTGTGTGTGTGTGTGTGTGTCTGCATGTGTGTTTGTCTGAGTGTATGTGTACATGTCCGTGTGTGTCTGTGTTTCTGCGTCTCTCTGTGTGCGCGTGCATGTGTGCGTGTTTGTGTATATATATTTATATGTGTGTTTGTCTTTAATTGTGCATATTTATGTACTATAATATTTTGGGCGGGTGGGTGCGAGATGTTGCGAGCGAGGGTGTGTGCGGGTCTCAGTGTTGGTGTCTGTGCGCGTGCGTGCCATGTGTTGTGTCATCGTGTGAGCGTTTCTGAAAGAAAGAGCTCGCACTTTTTCCTGTGCGTGTGCGTGTAGGTGTGCGCGTGCGTGTGCGTGTGTGTATGTGCGTGTGTGTATATGTGTGTCAGTGTGCGCGTGCATGGCGCGTGCACGTGTTTCTGCATGCGTGTGTGTTTGTTTTTCTCTGCTTTCCTCGTGAGTGTGTGTGTGTGTGTGTGCATATGCCTGTGCGTGTGCGTGCGCGCGTCTCCGTCTGTCTGTGTGTGTGTGTGTGTGTTTGCCTGTGTGTGCGGGTCTGTGTGTGTATACATACATAATATGTGTGTATATATATATATAATATATATAATGTATATATATATATATATATGTGTGTGTGTGGAAGAGCTTTTCAGTCTTCGTACGTGCGTGTGTACGCAGGAGTGTGGGCGTGTGCGTGCGTGTGTTTGTGTGCGCGCGTGTGTGCGTGTGTGTCTGTGTCGCGTGCGCGGGGCCGGCGTGCCTGCGTGCGCGCGTTTGTGCATGGTTGGGTGGGTTGGCGCATTTGTGGGCCCGCGCATGTGCGGGTGTGCCTTTGTTTGTGTGTCTGTTTGTTTTGGGGCGTCCGTGTGTGTGTGTGTGGTTTCCTTGCGCGCGCGCGCGTGTGTGTGTCGGTCCCGTGCGTGTGCGAGCCTGGTGTCCCTGCGTCTTCTGCATGTGCCTTTTGTTCGCTCGATTGTTTTACTCGTCGCTGTGCGTGACAGCATGTTTGCACACGCGTGCGTGGCGTGGTGTCTGTGTGTGTGCCTGTGTGTGCCTGTGTGTCTCATTGGTTCTGTGTGTCGGCGTGTGTGTCTGTGTCTGGGTGTGTGTGTGTGTGTGTGTCTGTCTGTCTGTGAGTCGTGGTCTGCGTCGGCTTCTTAGTGTCTCTGTCTGCTCCTGTGTCCGTGAGTGTGTGTGTGTGTGTGTGTGCGCATGTGTGTTACTGTGTGTTTGCGTGCTCTTGCGTAGGTGCATTTCTGTTCTAAGTCTTAGTGCTTCCCGCGCAGGGGCCGACTTCAAGCGGTGAGCCAAGTCTGCCAGCTGGGGGCCTTTGTGCTGGCATGGAAAGATGCGATGTCCACTGAATCATCCGCGGCTTTTCGGGCGGCAGCGAAGGCAGGCAGAACCACGAACCCAAACCACACACTTCGGCAACACCCCAAGCTGGGCCGGAGGCCGTGGCGGTGCTTCTCATTGCAGGAGGTGGCGACTCGAAGGAGTCGTTTTGGCACGTCCATCGACGGGGCGAAGAAGTTCAGCAGAGCTGCCTCGAGGACTTAAGCCTGTATGTTGTACATACCACGACAGCCCAAGCTCGGAAGCAGAATACTGCAGGAAAGCAACTCGGCCGCCATTCGCTTGGCGCAGCGGCTGGATCAGTTCGGGCCCCGAGCCACGTGGGAACATGTGTCCATGTGTGCAGCGTGTCCGCAGGCTTCGCGCGATCAACCGTGGGCTTGGACTAGGCACCGACAAGGTTGCCCTCTGGAACGAGTTTGAGAGCAGAAAGAAGAGCCACCAGCTGGTGTTCGCCTCCCCGGAGAGTGAGGCAGGGATCGCTTTCACGTTCACTCTAGCACTGTGGGCTGGCATGTCTTCTTCCCAGAACCCGCACAACTCGCTTCCACACCACGTGTCCCTGACCAGATCACGGGGCCAGATCAAATTGCCAAGCTATTGCGGCTACTGGAAAGATGCTCGACTCCAGGAACTTTGGAAATCGTTCAGAATCTCCAGTTTCACAATCGTCAGCCAACATGGGTGTCAAAGTGGGCAGTCGTCACCCGGATTCTCGGCAGCGTGCCGACCCAGACGGACATGGCGTGGACGGCACGTAGCCTGGTCGCAATGCTCCACGGCAGCGTGTGAGTGTCTTCTGATATAACTGGGATGATGCACAGGTGTCCTGGGCATAGCCGCGTACGGCACGGCTGATGATGCTGAAATGGAGTGGGGAACGAGGCTGCCGGTGTCGGTCCACAAGCTCACCAAGGCTCGGTGTGAGGCAGAGGTGCGTCACTGTGTGGAGCGAACTCTCCTGAGGCCAACGCGCCGGAGATCTGCAGAAGCGTGGTCTTCACCTTGGAGGTTCTGACCCACCTCAGGAATGAGTTTGGCACAATGGCCCCAGTTCTGAGACATTTCGAGTCGATGCAGACGTACCTCGCTGCAAAAAAGTCCGGGGATGTTACGGGCTTTGGGTGCCCTGATCACGTTGTTGGCATGCTGGAGCTCGCCCAAAGCATCATTCGGGGCCATCACTTCGAGGCATCGTGCAGCAGCAAGCGGAAGTAGTCAGCAAGCATGTTCTGTCTCTCGGTCTCTCTCTCCGTCTCTCTCTCTCTTTCTCTCGCGCGCGCCCGTGCGTGCATGCGTGCATGCGTGCGCGCGTGCGTGCGCAGGTGTGTGTGTGTGTGGGTGTGGGGGTGGGTGTGTGTGTGTGTGTCTGTGTGTCTGTGTGTCTGTGTGTCTGTGTGTCTGTGTGTCTGTCTGTGTGTGTTGTGCGTGTGTGCGCGTGTCTGTGTGTCTGCGTGTCTCTGTGTGCTTGTGTGTTTCAGTGTGTCTGTCTTTGTCTGTCTGTTTGTGTGTGCATGTCTCCGTGTCTATTCGTCTATAATATAGGTGTGTGTGCGCGCGTCAGGCCTTCCACGCTTGCACCCTGGCGCTGCCCAACGATGCCTCATTGACGGCCCGCTTGGCGCATGAGAAGGTTCACAATGTGCTGGACGCTGCCATGAAAGGGCCGCACGGCGGATGTTTTGAATACTTCATGGGGTTAGACTGTTACAGACATTATCATACGAGTGACTGTCTCACGAGGTGCCGCAGGGCGATGCCTGTCTCCATGCCCGCGGCCGTGAAGCAGACAGCAGAGGCTGAGGACCAGGACGATGTCAATGTCAATGTCCAGGATGACTTGGAGAAGCAGAAGGCCAGTCACCAGGCCAGAATCAACGGCAATGCTGAAGCAGAGCTGGAGAACTACATCAAATTTGTGCCGGTTGTGACCCGGCAAGATGTCAAGGCGGTCTTGGATGCGCTCAACCCGTTCCCTGTCGGAAGTTATATTTACAGCATCTGCTCGCTTGGAATATGTGTGATGCCATCCGCATTCTAAGGGTGTTAAATGGCATGGTGAACATGGGGCAGTCGGAGGTCTGCCTGTACTGGTTCGACAACTGCCAATTGGCGGAGCCGTCCGAAGCGTACGCGTTGTCCCATAACATTTTCTCCCGCGCGTCACCATTCAAGAAGGCCGAGTTCGCGTCGTTCGTCAAGACATACCAGTCCATGACCTCGCAGGCTCCCCCTGCGCATGCCCTGGTTTGTTTCGATGAAGGGAGCCCTGCAGCGAGCGGCTGTATCAGTGCGGCCCTGAACAAGCTGAAGGACCACCATCGAATGGAGCTGGATCTGCTCCCAACTCAGGCGCACCTGGAGAAGCGTGCCGCGTTCAAGAGTGGTGCTCAGACCAGCGAAGAGTGCAGGGCTCGGGTTCATCAATGCTTTGGGGTCTCGTTTATAATAATATAATCAGGGCATCTGTTTTTTCGTGAGGGAAAACGTGCCCGACATGGAAAGGTCATCCGGCAAGAGACGCAAATTGCAAGCAATCGGGCAGTTGTCGGCAGCAATCGTCGGCCGGGAGAAGGCGTACATTTGCCGTGGCCAGGAGCCAATTCCAAGCCGAGAATTTCATATCTTGGGGACGCCCGGGCGACTGGGCTTGGCAAGCGGACCATTTTTTATTTCAACTGCGCGCAGTGTAGTTAGGGGGATGCTTGCTATGTCCTAAGGGCGCCGGATGCGAGCTGTGGGTGGCTTGTGGTTCCTCTCGCGGACCCTGGCACATTGACTCCAATGGTCCCGAAAAGGATCAAGGAGCAGGCCAGACTGAAAGCAGCATGGCCGTAAAAGTAAGCGGTGGGATGAACAGGTCATCCTGTCTGGGGACCCGGTGAAGAAGGGCCAAAAGCAGGAAGAGTTAGTGTGCGAGCTTGGGTGCGAGGACCGGTGAGTTGGGCGTGAGTGCGCTTTGTTTACGGCCTAGGGTTAAGAGTGCTGCTTGCTGGCCAGCACAGCGTGTTCCCCGAGGAGCTGCTGCCCTTGAACTTCAAGAGCAGACACGTGAACGTGTATAAGGAGGTGCACCACATACTACGCGCGGGAAGAGTGGTTACGTGGACGCCTGAGTTCAACCAACTGTGGGCCTGTCTGGAAGATAGGCTTCCTGCAGTGGTCTTGCTCGAGAAGCTCGAACACAAGCACGCGTTGGAAAAGGCTCTGGTTGCAAAGATAGTTGCGGCCAGCACAGACCAGCACAACAAGCGGTTCTACAAGGCATCGCTTGACAAGACGGTGGTCAACGCACCCATCCGGCCGCCAACCGCCGCGGCTGCCACGGGGGAGTCTGAGTCTGAGGCCAATCCGGCCACGATGGAGACACCCAAAGATTCCGAAATCCCACGCGAGGATTCGCAGGGTAGTGGAAGCGGCTCCGAGGACGGCGAGGGCTCGGAGGGGTCTTTGTGACCACATGTTGGAAGGCTGCTTTAATAAAGTAGTACCCAAGGCTTGACTATATTATGTTGAAGCTGGACATAATGCATTATTTTCATCAGCCGTGCCGACATGTGGATTCGGAATTTTGACATAAGCCGACATGTGGAATTTTAACGTTTGTTTTCCAGACCACAGTGTCGGTCGCCGATCGCACTGCCGCTTGCTCACCTGATGGTGCAAACATGATGCCCTTGGAGCCAGTTGAACAAGTTGCACTTGCCTTCCGTCACTTGATCATTGCAGGCACATTGCGGGCATCTTGCGTAGCGGATCATATCCTTGTTGGTGTTGCGCAGGCTTCGTACTGTGCCCGGGATTGGCCGTTCCGATAGTCCTGAAGCCTCATCATCGTGCCATGGCGACAGAAGCTCTGGCTGCAATCGAGCTGGGGGAAGGCCCGAGGCCAAAACGCCAGAGGCCAAGAGACAGTACATTTGAAGTGTGGCCCAATTTGCAGCTCTGTGCTTGATCGTGACTGCAGGCAAGATCGAAGATCTGAGCCTAACAGAGGTCAAGGCCTGCGCAGGGCAAGCCGGGCAGCTTCAAAAGGTTCTGACTCACTTGCGTGGGCTGCCTGTCTGCATGAGTTAGTTCTACCTATACTAGCCGTGCTGTTGCTCCTGTGCTGGGAGCAGCCAATGCCAAGGTACTTGGGCAGCGGCAAGAACTGCAGGCAGTTGCCCCTTGGTGCCACTTAACCCGTACAGCATAAACGGCAAGGCTTGCCGAGCGGCAGCGATAGGTTGGGCATCTAACTGCACGCGCCTGAGCTGAGACTACAGACCTTGCCAAGACAAATTCCTACCCCAAGCACCTGAAGCCATCACCGCGGCATTTACAAAGACAACCAAGACAAAATCCTGACTATAAGCAATTTGCTTCAGATGCAACTCAGGGCTGCAGCATTCCGAGGGACATGTTGACCATCATGACGGCATTTGCCAAGACAACAACCGTATACCACAAGCACGTGCGAGCCATGACCGCGGCATGTGATATGAGAAAGCGGTCAGAAAGCATGCCTGATGGCGTGTAGACGAGTCCATTTGGCGAATGGGTTTGAAGGCATCACTGTGCTTCACGAACGTAATAGCCGAACCAATTCGGCTGTTTTTCTAGCATGCGATATCTCTGTTGCAGACACATGAGGGTCATACACACGAGATGCAACATTGCCACGAACGGCCACACCTGGGAAGCATTTTCCGGGTTCAGTTCACGACTTGCAACCGGACTTTGGTCTGCTTCATTTCGTCTGAATGGACCGAAACAGTGTGTTGTGGGCCGATACCTGCTTCGTCGAAGAACTGGACATGAAAGCTTTTCATATCCTCATCCCCATCATCAACCATCATCATCGTCCTCACAGAGCTGATGCTGATGATGATCAGCAGCATATCCTGCTGAGTGCCGTCTTGCTCTTCAAGCGACAGGCATGATACGAGTCTGGGGTGGTGGCAAAAGCCAAATCGGGCGAAGCAGTCCTGAGCCCGCTGCTTATCGTGATATCCCACGGCGTGCTACTAAATACGACTGCTCGCATGATGACTACTTCGTCTGCACAATATCATCTTCCCACCCACTGCAAGCGGGCTCCCGGTAAACGTCCGAGCCCTCATCTCAGGATCCTCGGCGTGAAGGTGAATGGAGCAAAAAAGTCCCAGGGGGACAAGGGACAGGTCGAGGCCAATAAGGCCAAGGAGGCCAAGGCCAAGGAGGCCAAGGCCAAGGAGGCCAAGTCGACAGGCAAGAAGCAAAAGAAGGACATCCCCCTCGGCCTCACAAAGGACACACAGCAGCTGCCGAATGTCACGAAGACGCTGACGAAGTTCTTCAATTCGTCTGAGAAAACGTCTGTTGATTCGCTCTCTGGCTGCGCAGTGAGCAGCTGCTCTTGAATTTGTGTTAGGCTCAGAGGCTCAGCTTGTGAGTTAGTGGCTGAGATACCGTTGCGAGGACCACGGCTGGCGGCTACAACCAGATTGTCGTGGCCAAAGTCCAGTTTGGAGCAGCGGGCATGGAAGCGCAAAGCAAGGGGGCGAGCGCATCCATGGTGATTTGTGAGAAGGCCGGCGTGCAGCTCTGGGTGTCTCCAGTGACGTCGAGTGTTGGTAAGCGCCTTGGGCACGTGACAGACGCGACGAAGGCCACTTGAACGCACATCGGCCCGGAATCGTTAGATTTCAGGTTTGGGTTTCTCAGTCTCTCAGCGCGAAAGCCCTGAATGCATCCGAGGTCTGTGCATATGACCCGCGGATTCCTCACACCTTTACACTTGATGGCAAGCCGCCGAAGGAGACGGTCTTCGCAGTGTATGCGCACCATGTGAAGGGCAAAGCAGGCGAAGGCGTGGAGGGAACGCTCAAAGAGCTGGGTTTCCCTAGTGTCTCTGGCAAACAACGTTTGCCATGCTTGCCCATGGGCCTGGCCGCTCCGAAGCTGCTTAAGCAGTGGAGCTGCAAGCTTTACAAAGAGCAGTTCCCAGGTCCTCCTGCGAAAAAGCGGAAGTTTTTCTGCGAGAACTGCCAGTGCCCAGACTGCCGCGAGGCCAAGGCAGCCACGTGCTGAAGAGTTTATTCCATTTCGGCGGGGGGTTGCCGTAAAACGAAATGAGTGCCGCCGATCACATGTCCACGATGGCAACCATGGCTGAAGCCGCAAGCACGCTGAATAGTTGTTCGGGCTGGCCATGACATGTCAGCAATGCGAGCACGCTTGGGTTCGAGTCCAAGCTCGGTGCCGAGCATCAGTGAGCAGCATGGGCAAAAGCACGGCGCTGACGTGGAAGAAGCTCCTGGCGAAGGCCAAGAACACGCGCAAGGACGACGTGGTTGTAGAGAAGCACCTGGGATTGAAATGTGCAGTGCCTGACGCTGTCGCAACCTGAAACCTATTCAAGGGAAACTTAGTTAACCCAGGCCGGTCAATGGGCGGCTACAAGTGGGGTCCGATTGTGCAGGGTACTGCGCCCATGCCCAGGGCCTAGCTTTGTCTTTGCGCCAGCTTCTTAGTCTGCGAGGGCTTTTGTGAACTTGTAATATGTTAAACGTTGCCGCCAGATCATCGCCCTGGCCAATCTCAACATCCGTGTGGAGTGCGCATTCATTTCGGAGTGCGACGAGAAAGTCCGGCGATTGCAGTCCGTTGTCTTGGAACACACGAAGGCGAAATGCAACAGCAGGCCCTGGGACATGTGGACGAGGCCACGCGTGCCGAAGGGCAGCCTTGACTTCTACATGGCATCCCCTCCCTGCCAGAGCTTTTCGGCTGCAGGCACGGGCAAGGCAGGACTTCGTTTGATATCAATCCGTGAAGATGTGCAGTGCCAGCCCCAAATGCCCAAAACCATAAACCCAAAATTGCAACCCAACCCAGCAGCAAACAGCAGTGCAAGCCTAAACCCTCAAGTCTAAACCTAAACCCAAAACCGAGGCCACCAAAACATGCGAAGCACAGTTGTCCAGAAAATCCGGATGTTTTCCTCATGTGTAATAAGTACTTGCAAGTAGGTTCCGGAGATGGAGAAAGCCACGAATCGCTGTAAATGCCGATGCTCCCTGGGATAAATTAGGAATGTGGGCCCTGCTAGTCTTAGTAATTTAGCAGCTGTAGTAGTCGGAGTAGTAGTAGTCGTAGTACGACGAGTGGTTGTGCTGATACTGCTGCTGCTGCTGCCATATAATTACCACAGCGACTGCTACTGCTCTTGCTACTCTTACCGTTATTACTACTAGTACTCGTAGTCGTAGTATAGTGCGAGGTGAGTTTCTTTGTTCTTCTGAGAACAAGGAAACTCTATCAGCCTGTCGAGGCCCGAAGCCCGAGGAGGTATCTTTCTGGGTCCTGACGGGCTCCCATGCCCACAGGCAGGGGTCAGAAAGGCCTCGAAGCCCGCAGCCGAAGCGCC